ATATAAACACAAGTTAATTAAGCTGGGAAATACAGACGAATAAGGAATGCTTCCACAATTACCGTATATCTTAATGAGCAGCAGAAATATTGGGAAACATAACGTGATGTGACTTACGAGAAATTATTTTAATATTCTAAAATAATGATTTGTAAAAAGCCTAGAATTTCAGTGGGAGAAAGGTTGAAAAGATGTGGGCTGGTTGTTTAACAACAGAATAACCTATTTAACGAGACTTTTCAAACTATATACCAGCCTAAATCAAAACTTGAAATACTGATATTCAATTAAATCAATTCCAATAGGTTACGCGGAATATATATACTATGCATGTTAATTGGTATACAAAGTAGGTATATAGAAGAAAATCTTTATTAATCTCGATGATCAATTAACTCAAGAATGATAATGTACTAATGTTATTTATCCCTTTGAATGAAAAATTTGGCTACTTCCAATAAATGTCCCGAATGACAAATACAACTGGACAAGTTATTATCTTTATACACATGATATTCGATCATTAGTTTGGATAAAGATCTAGCTTTCATCAACAAGATAGCACCTCCAACTAGGGCTGATATGTTGTTGCATTATTTTATTTGGAAACCATCTAAACCAACCATCCTTAATATTTTATTAAGCTAAACATGCGATCATTTTCTAGTTAATGGTTTAATCCCACAAACAAAGACCAAGTTGAGAGCTATCGAAGAGTTATAAACCACGATGAAACAACTCCCCGATTATCTCATTTTTATATCGACGTTTAAAAAGTTAAACCCATCATTCCGTTCATACTTCGTTGTAGAACTTAATGTTAGGATGGGTATTGTCTAAGCTTCCTGAACAAATGTAAAGAGTGGTTTACATTATCATAGGCAATGAACGTGTTATTGGTGAGTCTAAAGTAATATAATCCATAAACAATCAAATCCAATCGAGGTTATCTTAGAAAACTGACAAAAATTCCGATTAAAGCAGGTCCAGGTGATGAGCTAATGTGCACTTATCAGTCTATTTTTGCAAATCCAGTTTTTAAACAGATAAATTTATTACGAAGTAAACTAATGTAGTAGATGTTTAATTGTGGGTAGACCACAGATAAAGTAGCGTGGACCACTTGATGTGAGATATTTATGTGTTCAGTAATCATCACATACGAACACAAAGATGTCCGCAGTAAGATAGGAATTAGCTAAAAAAATTTGACGTCCAAGAGATTAAAACATTGATAATAAATATATTTTTATTATATCCCAGCGTAAACAAAAAAGTGGTTTACATTAAGTCACGAAAAGTCAGAAATACAATTTTTCTACTCATTGGGATATAACAAAAATATATTTATTATTAACTCTCTAACCAATACTCAATTTATTTGAGATTATCAAGTCCAACATTGGTATTGATACCTATAAAATTGGCATAGCATATAACGAATCTAGCAATGTTTTTTAATTTACCTTTCGGGGTTTCTATGTAGATTCATAGATTAAAGCGTTTAAATGTACAGGTATTACTATTAAGTTCGCCCTTTCAATCAGTAACTATTTATTCTACAACTGTGGTTCCTAATTATGAGCGATGTATGATATTAGAGATAAGACGGTTCTCATATAATGGTTCATAGAGTTTCAAACTCACAGAAAAACAGGCAGGTATGATTTTACAAAATCGCCCTGTATAGCGTGAAATTGAAATTATATCACTTTACTTTACATCTTTCTGGTAAAAAACTGAGGTACGATTAAAAGGATGAGTACGTTACTAGATTATCATGACAGGAAAACTAACCAGCCTTATTTGAGTTAACACAGTTCTGAACTCAGCTGAGACTAACAAATTATATGAAGGCAAATGTATACGTTCCATTTTCTCAATTTTGATTTATGTGGCGAAATTATGCTTAATGTTTGCAGGTAATTCGTAAGGAAAAACATATAAACTCGAACCTGACATTGATCAATTAATTGTAAGTACATCTCAGTTCTACAGGAGGTCGGTCGCGGCCCGGATAGTTCAGTGGCAACGTCTCTGATTGTTAATCTGGGTGACACGGGAACGAACCCGTCAGGGTGCATCAGCCCCCTCAAGATCACAGGTACACCTTGCTGACGAATTCTAAGTAGCATGAAACCTAGGTCCACGGTTTCCTGTTAACTACCTCCAACCGCCATCTTATCATAGCATAGTGCACGCGATGTCGAATCACCTACACTGATGGCCACATCGATACCTGACCGTAGCTGCTACCTTGACACGGTTCATGATCTCAATCAAAAACTTAATAATCTCCACAACCCCTATACTAGATCGAAATATTTGAAACTGAAGTCAGTTTTAGGTAAAAAAAAAAAAGAAAGAAGGAAAAGCTAGATACTATTCTAGAATTATTCCTATTTAGTATTTGCATAAATTTTGTTATCTTCAGTCTAATGTTAATTGTTAAAATAGATATTTAGAAGAAAATTACATGTACTTGACGGGTACCATTTTTCGCAGTACCAATAATTGGAATAAAATATTTAGATTAAATAGTAGTCTTAATATTAAATGACTTATTAAGTAAGAAGAGAATGATGAAATGTACTTGTCGGACACACTTTATTCCAGTAATGGTCAGTATAGAGTGTTTTAATTAGTTTTACTTTTCCTTGATAAGAGATAGTTATCAAAATAGGCAATAACATTAGATACTCGACTTTTATCAGTACCACAAATATTTGACTTAATCTTATGATAAGACCATCTTTTTTAAAAGTGCATGGTAAACACGATGTGCTTTGTTTGAAGTATGAGGAGATAAGACATACTGAATGTTACTTAGAAAGTTTCGAACTAAATTACATGTGTTTTTAATGTCAAGTACAGACTCTATTTTTAAAATCATTGAAGATACTCTTTCAGTGTATCAGCTCTCTTCAGATTATATGACTTATTTGAGGCGTATCATGTAAATGTTTTAAATGTCACTGGTGTAACTACATTTGAAAACCCAGTGTAAGCACATTTCAGAAAATTCATTCCATCTGTCTCTGAACATAACGAAGAGTGGAGTCAGCTTAAGCGCAAGCTGACAATAAGTCTACGCAATGATCGTAAACAGTGGTTGAAAGCTAGGAGAAATCTGAAGCGAGGGAGAGCAGCAGGTCCTGACAGGTTCACTCCTGAGATTTTCAAGGATGGTGGTTCAGTATTAGCAGTGAGATTAACAGTAGTCTTAGGTAGAATTTGGGAACTGGACGTAATCTCATCTGACTGGTCTCAATCACTGATTGTGCCAGTCTATAAGAAAGGACAAAAGTCCTCTTGTGACAATCACAGAGGAATCAGTTTGACTAATATAGTGTCTAAAATATTAGCTTCAATAATACTTCGACGCCTAACCAAAGCTCGTGAAGAGCAGACTAGAGAAAATCAGGCTGGTTTTCGACCTGGACGTGGTTGTATAGATCAGATATTCACACTACGTCAGATCCTAGAACATAGACACACATTCAGACACCCCACAATCGTGGTATTTCTCGACCTTAAGGCAGCATTCGACTCTGTTGATCGTGAGGTTTCACGGCAGTGTTTGTCACTGAAAGGAGTACCAAAGAAGTACACTAACTTTATAAAGGCTCTCTATTCGAACACAACTGGCCGAGTGAGGGCTTATGGCGAACTGTCATCAGAATCGATTACCTCAAGTGGTGTTCATCAGGGCTGTCTACTCTCTCAATTTTTGTTTAACTTTATCGTAGACTTGCTTAAATTTACAGGGGTTGAACTTCTACCGGGAGATTCACGTAATGACCTAGAGTATGTCGATGATATAGTTCTATTTGGTGAAGACGCTGACAAAATGCAGTCTTCTAACCACTATAAGCGACAATGCAGGCATGTTCGGGATGTGATTCTCTCCCTCGAAATGCAAAATATTACTTCAGGATTGGGTGGCATCGACACCAGAATTAATGATAGAGTGAAGAAGTTGAGCGTGTCGACTGCTTCACTTATCTGGGAAGTCTCATCAGCCCTTGTGGTTTGGTGTGTGACGAAATCTCAGCACGGATACAGAAGGCTTGACTAGCTTTTGCCAACTTGCGTCATTTATGGCGTAGACGAGATATCCGTCTACCAACCAGAGGACGAGTTTGCTGTGCAGCAGTTCGTTCCATCCTACTTTATGGCAGTAAAATATGGCCAGTAAGAGTAGAGGATATTCGTAGGTTACTAGTATTTGATCATAGGTGCCTTCGAAACATTGCTCGTATATCCTGGGACCATCGAGTAAGTAACGCAGTTGTTAGCAAAAGGGTACTAGGTAAGGATGGCAAACCAATTGATGAAATAGGGAAACTTCATCAGTTGAGATGGCTGGGACACGTGCTACGTATGCCCAACCACCAACTGCTTCGATGTGGGATGTTTTGTTGTATAGGAGTAGATTGGAAGAAAGCTAGGGGCGGCCAGACCAAAACATGGCACAAATCCATGAAGTCACTGACAAGTGGACTGAGCCATGTTGGTAGGTGTAGACTACCTGGTTGGGATCCGCGAGACGATAGCAACCGATGGTTAGAGACCCTGAATGACATAGCTCAAAACCGTTTGCGATGGCGCAGGTGCATCCACTCTTTGTGTTCTCCCAAATTCTAATCTCCTGATTCCTCGTTGTCTCTTCCCAAATCTATTTCACTGGATTATACTCTTTAAATAACATCTCCAAACCCTAATCTTCCTGATTACTGCTTATACACTTACCACCTCTACCACTACGGGATTTTAATCGATAACTGCATCTCTGTGCTAATGTGGTATGGCAACTCGAACTGATGTACGTACGCACGAAGTCCTACTTTGTTAGTGACTGGACTTAGTCGATAGGATTCGATCCACAATAAGAAGGACCTGACATTGATCAATCAATTGTAAACTCGGGAACTGTTCTATGTCGATCACCAAAAACAAGTGCTGAAATCAATCAAAACTACATGACAGAACGGGGATTTGTCAGAACTTCTTTCGGACAGACAAGTGGTCTGTTTAATCAGTTGCAGTCAAGAAGTACGAAAATAATTTTAGTTTCATGTCAAATGTAATATTTTATACTTTGATAAATACTAGACGCCTACCTTACAGTTTGCATACTACAGACGCATATAAATCGTAACAATAGACATGTAGTTTTCACAAACGAGTAAAAATAATGATAAAATTATTTTCAATTGCTGTATAAACTACCGAACACTTCATACAAGTTCAGTCGACAAGAAACAGATTGGTTACCAGTTAATATCATCACTGAAGCATACAAGGGGTTTATCAGAGAATTTATATCCTAAATTACGGAGTACTTCAGTGATCTATTTATTAATTCACATCTGAAAATTCAATCAAAAACTAAAAAAGCATGCTAAAATGTCTCAGATGATATTTTATACATCGATAAAGAAATGTTAACATATAAGGTTTTTGAAGTCATGTTTCGATCAGGAATGTAATCAAAGATATTTATTATCCAGATATAACACAGAGGTGGTACTATAAAATAATCTGACAAATTACCATAACATTGAAGTAAAAAAGAAGCAAAACTGAAGTTTTATGTACAACGCGTGGTTTAAGGACACTTCGAAAGACTAAATCAAGGTAGTAGAAAAAGTAGTTATTTTCTAACGAATTGGAGATAAATTAAACGAGGTTTGAAATAAACAAGACCAAAATGCCAAATACAAAAATGTTAAGTTATCCAAAATGAAACTCGAAGTGAGCACCTTCAAAGGGATGCATGTGGGAGAATGGAAAACCATTGAAAGGATGACCACCAAACGGGTTTTGAGCTTGCTGTTCAGGATCCAGCGGATCGATTCCATTTTCAAATTGTGTACGTTTTTCTGGATAAATTTAATAATAATAAACAAAACATGAAATAATTCATTCGCTTGTATTAAAGAAAACCCAATGCTTAATATACAATAAAAGTATTCCTAATTACTATTTCGAAGATGGAAATGTCTTGCAAACGATACGACATCCAAAGACGGAGTCTTGGTTAAGTTACTAACTCAGTGATTTAAAACTAGCATACATACACATACTACGGAAGATCATAGGTCAGCAAAACCTGACGACAAAAGTACAAATTGGTTACTTAGTTACATGCCTAGTCCATTTTTACGATATGAAATGTTTGACATTAGAAAATTATTCAAGAAAACAAATGATTTCAACTCAGGATACATTCATACAGAAGCATAATACTTCGTCTTTATACTCAAAAATAGGAATAGAAAATAATTCAATTGCTAATTACCTTGAATAGTTATAGGTGCTGGAGAACACAATAATTTGAAAAATACTTGTGTTAATAATAATGATATGAAGAAATAAGTCGCCATTCCGGACTTTAACACATGACAAAGTCCTCCATAATAAAATCAAAGTGCGCTAGAGATATTATGATCCTTACCAGCCGGAAACGAGATGCTGTTGTGAAGTTTGAATTATTAAAGAACTTTAGATTATATCTAGAAATCTTTTTGATGAGTCATTTTTTAAAATAACTACTGAACTTTAATTGAGTGAAGCTCTTAAGGACCGTAGATATTAACTGATGCCTTCCTAATCATAAATAATACATTATTTTTGAGAAGTTGCAATTTTCGGAGCTTTATTTAGGTAAACTCACCATCATCTGTAAGGACCTCCTTGGCTGCAGAAATTAAAACGAACTTTTTCTCGGCTTGCACTTTTTCTTCGCCCTGAAATTTGTCCGGATGATATTCAGCAGCCATTTTTCGATAGGCCTTCAAAATATCCTTTTTAGAAGCTGATTTGGGCACCCCAAGTATTTTATAGTAATCACGACGGTTGCTTGTTTTTAGAAGCTTTTGAGCCTTCTTCATGCCCTCCTTCGCTTTCTGATTATTCGATTCATGTTCTAAAATTTTTTGGTATGTTGAAATGGCTAGATAGCGAAATAAAATGACATAAAAATTTATTGTGAAATATAAGTAGAAAGATGTATACATTATAATTATTGCTAAATAACCGAACGAATACTATAGCATAAAATACGATGGGACGATAGTTCAGCTATTGTTTTATTATAGAAAAAAGTAGGATTAAGCGTAGATATGCATTGGTTACTACAATATACTTCAGCAAAGTTAAAGGAAACTGTCTAAATGATTATAAAACACAATTGTATGTGGGGCAGAAGCAAATGAAAAGCTAAATGTTAAGGTTGAAATAAGTTCCTTATAATTCATATTACTGGGATTAATGAAAAGAGCTGTCACCAAACCAACCTAATTAATATATCTTCGTAACTTGAGATGCAACAAAAATGTAACCTTAGAACGCTCCAAGTAGAAGTGATAAAATGTTTTGTGGATAAGTACACAATGACACTGGAAAACTGGATTACATTTTCACTACCCAGTCAAAACCTATTTATGAAGTACAGATTTAAAAACTCGGCTTTGAGAGATTACCTCTGTGAAGGCCAATGACACCATTCGGTTGTCTCAATTGAATTAGAGAGGAATGAGGTTCTAACCTGGGTACTGCATCTGAATAAGATGGTTGGTTATGTTATTGTTTTATCAAGCCAAGCATATTACTCATCTTTGAGAGGACTGCTAATAGCAAAATGAGATAACATTGTCAAGATATCGGTTTATCAGTTGGAAGCCGAACGTAAGGTATATCACTTAAACATTGGTCAAACATAATTGTCTAGAAGACTAGATGAAAATCGGATGGTGGTATATCTGAACGAAGAATAAATGAATGATAGATGCTAGGAATCATCTATGGACCATTATTACATATGTTCCTATTGGATTGGTTGGGCCACGTGTTACGTATGCCCGAACACCGATTACCATGACGTGCAATGCTAACCGGTGTTGGCGATGGTTGGAAGAATATTAGGGGCGGCCAAACCAAAACGTGGCGTCAGTGCTTTAAGTCACTAACTTCTAGTCTGAACCATATTGGTAGATGCAGACTACTTGGTTGGGGTCCGCGTGACTATCGTAACCAATGGTTGGAGACTATGTGACATGGCTCAGAATCTATCACAATTGCGTCGGTGTATACACTATCTGTCTTCCCTTATACTAAGAGATTAAAATCACTTTAAAATCTTTCTTTCTACGAACTAAATCTTTCTTCCTGTACTATATCCTTATTGCAATCTTTCTTCTATATATTGCCACAACTGAATTAACTACTTTTATGAATCCGGTGTTCATCTTGTTGTGTTAATGAGGTATGGCAACTTGGACCGATGCATATATGTGCCTGGTCCTACGTTGTAGCTGACCGACTGACTGACTGTTATTGGATTACTATTAAGTAACTAAGTTATACACATACTTATATTCCTTTTATCATAAGCCTTCATTTGACCTATTGGATACTGTTATACGATTTACCACTTTTAATTAATTCCCAATTTATCAGTTACGGTCTCCTATACTCACATCCATTTTTGGCTGTTTGACGCATGATTGATGTAGCACAGGGCAAGGTCACAAGGATGGATATTCTAATAGGTGATTTTGCCACATGACATTTGACGGGCAATAAGATGTAACAGATGGAATTCATAAGAATATAAAAGTGAATTTAAAATAATGACAATCCAGTGACATTTAGACGTTTTGCTTATGGTTTCTACATTTGGATTCTTGCAACTTCTTCAGAGGGATATGGGAATCCTTATTTTAGCAAAATTATACGAATCTCGGGCCTCAATAAGCTGAAACGGTTGATAGAAACATGTATACTTAATAGGTACATTTTCTAAAATGTTTTGTATGTGGCTAGAATATTTCATAGACCAAACTTGCAGTAGGTAGCTAAAACTGAAATCCCGCTTGATAACCAAATATAAGTCAGCATATTCGACTTTGGGTAACACCTTTTTGAGTCAATGGTGCTAACCAAAATATAACCAGACCAAAAAATGTGAAATGACTTTTAAAGCTACAGCTTAGTAACTTGAAGTTGTGTTTTATTAGATAAACCACTGCTACATAGATGAATAACTAGAATTAAACGCAGTAGTAAGGCATCACTATACATTTCCTAGATTAAGTATGACTAAGATATCATTTTGGCTTTACCTTTAAACAATTTGAAATGATAATCACGTTCCGGCTGCCCATATCACAGAGAAATACTTCTTCTTTGGGGACCTGAAAAGAAGGATTGGTTTCCAGTGGTTCTAAAGATGAGTTTAACGAGTGTCCAAAGGACAACTGCTGAGGTCCGGTCATACAAGACCTTTTACTGAGTACTTTAAGAGGAGTTAGCCCATTAATTAAAAGATCTTATCGCCGGAGATGGAAAGCAATAAGGTAATGTGAAGTGTAGCACTTTTAAGCCCAACTTTTTCCAGCCCCTTCCCTTATGAGAAGGCATTATCATTCCAGATGATGGTTGTCTACAGTAAACATTTTGCTTCTGTCACTTTCCAGTAGTCAGTAGAATATTTTACTCTTAAACCTCCACCTGCTGCTTTTAGTTTTACCGCTCACCAATCAACCTGCCTGGGATGATAGGACTCAAGTCAACTAGTGTTCCGGAAAAAAACAGCTCGGTTGGGCAGGTAAGCCCGACCGCCACGCTAAAGCAGCAGATACCGTCAGGCTCAAGAATTTAAATTAATGGGTTATTGGGTACAATTCTATCTTGTTAACGACAATGCATCGGGGATATGGGATTGCTAGCTGTCGATTCAGAAAATTACCAAATATGGGTGGGACAACGGTTGTAACTTGAAATACATAAAACAAATTGCTTGTGCAAAATCTTACCATCCTGAAAACGGTCAGCATTTATATAAGCTTCAGCTTGATAAAGTTGGAATTCAGTACTTTCAGGATAATGTTGAACAACAGATTCACAATACGAGACTCCATCAGCACTTTTAGCCTAAGATAGTTAATCACAAACACAAATACTGTAGAGGTAAAATACAATAATCTGTGATATACACTTCAAATTTTTTTCTTGTCAGAACAAGCCATAAAAATAAACTGTATATATTGCGGGTTATACACTAGATTAAGTGTAACCCGACAAACAAAAAATAGATAATCGTCGAAAATATATGCAGTGAAACATGTTAAAATGCAAATAATTGAGAGACTTTACGAGATAACTGGGATATTTAGATAAGAAAACATTAATTATATGAACGAGTGCTATATGCTTTTATAAGTCCTGGTTTCCATATATTGATAGTAGTTTACAACAAACATCTTAGAGACATTTAAACTTGTCTTTACGATAGATTTTCAAGTAATCGTATTGCGAGTATAAATCGCATACTTGATGTGGAGATGTACGTCAGAGGTCTCAAAATACAGGGGGTTCAAGTTTAACCGCGGTTGTTAACCTAATGAGTTCGTTAGGGTTGCTTATTATGATGACCCGATTGACTAACACTGATTGCAAGACTTATTCCTTAGCATCCCAATATGCTAGAAAAGTCATTTGAAGAAGGAATGTGGGGGTGGTGGGGTTTTTTCACGAATAACCAGCACATTCAGTGAAGCAGTCTTCATGTATAAGGAGACAGGTTAGAAAAAATGGCCACGAAAATAACACCGGACACGAATTATCAGTATCGACTGTCAAGTTGAAGTGCGTAGTCAGCGTAACAAAAACAACAAATAGTGAGGAAGTAGTAGGTGGTCGGCCTTAAGCAGTTGTCTCTATGGTCACCCTCCCAGGTCATTGAGACTAGCACAGCCCACTATCCGTGTATCCCGACTTGTTAGTGACTTCTTATGGTTTTACAATTGTAGAGGTAATGTTCATTTTAAAGCCTGAACAAGTACCTGTGAAATAGACTTTAGTCGACCGTTGCTTGTACGCACTCACACTGAACAGAACTGTGAGAAATCGATAACCTAAAAATGGATTCCGGCTTGTTTTCAATTTTTACCTACACTCTAATCTAGTGTAGTCCCGATGAAAAGATGTCCTCACAAAAAACTTTCAAATTTCCTTGAAAAACCCGAGTTCAGATGTAGTCATTGTAACAGGTGTCTCTTGACATTCAAGTGAACAAATAACAACGATCTCTTGTAGCAACTAAGTTCAGGGAATCGTTCAATACCAACCAGTTAGTTATCAACTTACCGTAATTAACGTACGATATAGCATAAATATGTATCGGGACAAGTTGCTACACCATCTTAACATAGAGATGGAATCAGTAAGGTAGGATATACAGGAGTCTAAATAGTAGTACTACCAATCATAATAAATAATTAATTGATTTACTTCTGTACTGATTAGAGATTTCATTTATTTACCTAGTGCTCGACATGAGGTCCCAGCATTGCTTACTTTGTCATTCTACAGTATATTAACAACTCTTAGAAGACACTATTAGATGCTGATAGCCAACGGAAGTCCTCTACTTCGAAAGACGTTTCAGCCATGAAGTAAAATAGAAGATTGGTGAACAGCATGTTCGTCCCTTGGCTTGTAAATGGATGTCTGGGGTACGCCACATATGCCAAACTAGTTAGCCGCTAACAAATTATAGTTGGTTTTTGGGAAACAAAACTACATTATCTACCAATGAGTGTAAAATCGGGATCAACTATTGGAAAGTTGGACGAAAACACTGTAAGTTCTACGAGCACATGTATTAACAAATTAAACAAGAGTGGGAAAAGCATTTATATTAAGTGCCAGTCCTAAATATATTGAAAGACATTGCTGGTCGAAAAATAAAGACAAGTAAACTACATCGCTATTATTCATCGTTGGAAAATTAGACCTCCTGAAACACACGTTTGGATTCAGACTACACATTCGTGATTTGTCCATACACTAATCGATGCACAAATATGCCAACAATGAAATGGAGGGATTCGAACAGTAAGCACTCGTTAGAGAATTAATCGACTATGAAAGTCTGTTTAAAGAAACCCTGACATCTGCAGTAAAACTGAAGTGGTATTAATCTTAACCAGAACGTCATTATAAGGTGCTCAGATATACCTCAACGAACTTTCTGAAGAGCGTAAATAAGACAAAAAGTACCGTGGACATATTATGCATCCGTGAGTCAATGCTGTATACCAAGTACCACATATTCAGCATACTGAACCAATGTATTTTATTCTAGTGTATGATCATTAGCCAACTTGTTGTGGTGACCTTTTAGGATTAAATTTCAGTAAAGTATGTGCTTCCCAACTGGATCTTAAAAGCTGGCATATAGGCAAAAACCAAATGAGAATTGATGAGCTTTGCCACAACCTGGAGAAGTGCGTGAACAAATTCTAGAATAAAGACGTTAGCTACAGATAACAGATAAGGAATTAACATCGTTAGCTAAACTAAGGACGACTGAGGAAACTCACCAGGAAGGACATTTACTCGCCTAGAGGTAATTGAAACGTCTTGATTATTAGAGAGATTACCTAAAAACTCCCTGTAGATGCTCATTATCGAGAGAATTTATGTTTAAAAGTGACATTCAATCTCTGACCTATGTTAAGGCACTGATTCAGACCCATCCTAAAATATTTTGTGCCGATGCAAGTAGCGCGAATTAGACATCGTTACACTGACACTGATTGACATTAGTTCTTAAGGTAGTTATAAATAATACCTGATTAATCTTGTTTAACTTTTATGGGAAACATATTGAGAAAACCAAATAAAGCAACAGAGAGCGAGGGATCTTGTGACAGATGAGAGAAGTATTGGCCAGTTTCATCGCTGCAAGTAACTACGCGCAAGATAACCACCAGGTTTCCCAAACCGAAGTGGGAGAATCAAAATCCCAGTCTAAGACTTAATGTCCGACAGCTGAACGCCTTAACGGTTTCGTTACCGCTTGAATATATTTCAAGAAAGAAGATACGTAGCGAGTTAGAAACCATAAGGAAATGTATACACAGGATGGTAAGCCATGTCTAGATTGTGAGTAGACTGGATTGACATGAAGCATTTTGTAAAATCGAACATTAGACATATTGGTAACAAGTTAAGCATCTTTTAAATTTATAAGACCTAGAGATCGCATATGAATAACTCACTTTTGCATGACAGTGACAGAGGCTAATGTTTGCTTGATTAGCATATTCTGTATTTGAAGACTCGAACTTGACTATCTCTGATGCTTTCTTGATGCAATCAGAGTACCTTTCGGCTTCCAAAGCCTCTTGCGTGGCTGTTATAGCCTTGGCAACCTTATTTACTTTTTTGTAGAGGCTCAAACAGGCTTTATCATCCTGATCAAGCCTGAGACATTCTCGAAGCTCATTGACAGCCTGCACTGCAAACCCGGCGTCATACATTATTTGACTAATTCTCAGTAATCCCTCGCGGTTATCATTGGTCAGATGAACGCCAAATCTCATTTCTTGCAAACCCTGAGGACAATAATTAAGCACAAATATTACCTTTTGCACGTCTCCTAAGCTTAAGTAACACCTTGCTCTCAATTCACGTAGCTCCTCAGCATAGTCGACTGATTCCACTAATTTGTCCAATAACGTAAGAGCTTCTCTGTATTCACTGTTCCCGAACAATTTACGAGCATCTTCCCACTGATTTTGCAGTTTATGTATTTCAGATATTTTGGCGCTTGCGCCAGTATCATGATTTAGCTATGCAATAAATTTTTGTAGTTGAAAACAGTACCACACTCTCATAATCTTCTATGGCTTCTGTCAGCTTCCCCATTCTTAGCTTCACATACGCCCGATGTTTTCTTGCCTGTGAATTAATCAAGGTAACTTATGACTAACAGGAATGAAATCTGGATTTAGCTCCAAAGCTCTATTAAAATCCAAAAGAGACATCCTACAATTAGATAGTGCGATGTATGCTGTGCCCCTTTTGTAGTGGGCCATATAACTATCAGGACTTTTTCCTAAAAAATTACAAGTACTTTCGACATACCGATGGCATCACTGTACAATAACAGAGCTTCCTCAAATTTACCGGATGCTAAAAGTCTAGTCCCTTTCTCCAGTATATCTTCCACACTACCATTAACTGATAGGGTTACTAAACAACTAAAGTTAGGAATAAACATTAAAATACCTATAGCGTAAAAACATGTTATCGTAAAAAAATAATAGAAGGGCGTCCGAACTTCGTAACACATCCCAAGAACGCGGTCAGTAATCTGTGTGGACTAGTCTGATTGGATGGATTCATAATAATAAACAGGAGAAAACAATGACCAATATTCAACATCGAAATCTGTAAACCTTCGTAAGGACTACGTTTTCTGAAATATTATACTGATCAATACACAACTTTCCAGCATAAAATATTTCTGTGCTTAAATTCAGCCTATAAAATACTATCATTTTACTTCGCTATGCCTCTTTCAGCATGACTCATAACTCTAGTTTCAGTTTCAGTTTCAGTTTGGGAAGGACAGGAGGCCTGATGGCCTGTGTTAGTCCTGGCAGTGGTGGTTTCTCAGTTGATCCAACTTTCTTATAAAAGAGTCGACAGATGGAGCCTCAATCACGTGCTGAGGTAATGAGTTCCACTCGCTGATGATTCGATGGGAATGTCGATAGTCAGATGACAAGTAATTTGTTCTTGGCTTGTGAACTTTTTTGGAGTGTCCTTGTAAATTCTGTTTTGGAAGACACGAAAAATGAGGGCATATCAAGTGCAAATTTGGCACTAAGCAATTTGAAAACTGTAATCAAGTCGCCTCTGGTTCTGCGATATGACAACGGGAAAAGGTTCAGCTTGGCCAGTCGAGGTTCATACGGAAGCTTCGCTACTCCGGGAATCAGCTTAGTTGTTGTCCTCTGAACCTTTTCCAGAAGCTCACTGTCTTTTTTCAGGCAGGGGCTGGCCACTTGTATGCAGTACTCAAGTTTAGGACGTACGAACACTGTATACAAAGTCAAAAACGTCTTAGCGTCGACATGACTAAAAGCCCTACGTATTGACCATAACGTTCTAAAACTTTTGGGGGCTATTGCACGGCAGTGTGCAGTAGTCTTTAAGTCTTGGCTAACGATGACTCCCAGGTCACTATATGTCTGGATGACAGGTAGCTCAGTGTTATTCATCGTGTATGTATCTGTACCTTGATGACCGATATGCATCACAACACACTTGGAAGTATTTATCGGCAACTGCCAGGTTTCAGACCATTCAGATAATTTCTTCATGTCATTTTGGAGTTCTAAGCTATCACCCTTACATCGTATCGTTCTCCATATCTTGACATCGTCAGCATATAGCAAGACCGATGATGATAGGAGACGAGGAAGGTCATTTACATACAAGAGGAATAGCACTGGCCCCAAAACTGTACCCTGGGGCACTCCACTAAGCACAGTTCCCCAGCTAGATAACTTTGAGTTCACCCGTACTCTTTGTTGGCGCCCAACTAGGAAGTCTTTTATCTACATTAATAGATTGTCTCCAATTCCTTAACAATGTTTTCTTCGTACAACTTTCTAGACTTACGGAGTGTGGAGGCACAGTTATTCCGAGCTTTTCAGTACTGGGATTTAGTTTCATCAGTCCCCAGCAACCTAAATCTATCCCACATTTTTCTTCTCTTACGGAGATGGATGCGAACCTCCCTACTAAACAATGGTGGGGAGTTTCTCAGCCCTTTTGGTATAGGCCAAGGGATGTGCGGTGCGGTAACTTTTAAGTATAAATTTCGAAATGCTTTCAATTGAGGACTCTGGCTCTATTGTCCAAACTACTAAAGATGCTGAGTGCATGATATCTGGTATGCTTGCTTTCCAGACGTTAGTTCTGGATTGAGCTGACGCGTGCTCGTGATTGACAGTTAAATGGAAGTCAAAATTTAAAACTGTGACCACTTTTACCTAGGGGTGGCATGTAATAGAGGTTCACAACGTCATCCTCATAGTGAGTCAATATAAGATCTAGTTAGGATGATTCAGTGTCCGGATCGTACCAAGTCGCTTCTTTCACATGTTGCACTAGGGCACATGTGATAACCGCATCACCTAATTCCTGCTCGAAGGAATTTTCTGACGATTCAGTTCGCAGATTTTCCCAGTCTACCATTGGTGCATTAAAGTCCCCTAGGATTAGACATCGACCACTTTGTGACCAAGTATTGAGACTGCTTAGCAGGACCTCATTTACCCCACAGCTTGGACTGCGATAGACCAAACCAATCAGCTGCTCTTGTCCCTTGCATTTCAAGAGGCAACTAACTATTTCATACGTCCCACTCTCATTGGATACACTGTCGATAATTGCAAATGGGGTAGCATTCCTAATGAATAGAGCCACTCCCCCTCCTTTACGCTTTTGTATTCTGTCGGCCCTTACTAACGTAAAACCCTCGAAATCAAGTTCCATACTATCTATAAACTGTGTCAACCAGGTTTCTGTGACTGCGATTATGTCTGCCTTTGTAGAGTCAATATGTGCACCTAGTTCCGTTCGTTTAATAAGTAAGCTTCGGGCATTAGTGTAAAAAATCCGAAGCCTATTTAAGTGGCTTCGTGGTTCACACAGAGTGGCTTCGGCATCATTCTCTGTCGAAGCCTTACAACCCGAAAATTTACAATTTTTATGTCCTTTTCGCCAGCGTCTAACCTAAGTTGTATTTCCTTTTCAGCTTTCCGTCGTTTTACGCGGTCGGCCAACGGCAAGTCCTTACGGATAGAAACTCCTAAACCCTCCAATTTATATCCATTCCGTAAAATTAAGTCGCGTTCATTCTGAGATTTGAACACCACTTTGAGTAAATTGGATTGATAGGCTTCAAGTTCCCTAGACTCCCTAGTCTGTACACCTTTAGCAAGGTGACTCCGGGGATATTTTGAGGCATGAGTTGATTAAGTAGCTGTTTTATCAGCACAGCGTCATGCTCAAAACGAGCTTTAGGCTCAGAGCTCACGCTCTCCTTGATTCTATGGAAAATAGCTGATCTGTCGCTCTGATCAGCTTTCGATTTTACGACTACTTTCGCGGGGGTAGGATTACCTTCTATATCGCTACATTTTTTCTTCCTTACAACCTGTACCCACTCGTTAACGGCGCTGGTAGAAGTAACAACAGTTGCGTCAAACCTAGTGTTGGATTCTGGAGTGTTGTCGACGACCTGAGAGGTCAGGTTATGTTTGCCGCTTGAAACCGATCGAGCCTTGCGATTGCGGCTTCTAGGCGTTTCCTGTGGGATCCCATCTGGGAGACGGGGAACAGAAGAACCTACTTTCCTTGAGCTTTTATTTAAGGCAGGCCCCTTTGGAGACTGCTATTCCTTCTTTGACCGGCGTGAGTCGTCTACTGTCGAACTAACCTTAGTTTGCTTCATGTCGATTTGTGTGTCGACAGATCGAGTGCTGTTTGACGTGTTCCGACTACGCTTGCTAAAACACTTCTTTGCAGCATCAACCAGTGGGATGGCCTCTGTTAATAGGCTGTTTGCATCCGAACAGCACTGTTGACAAAGCCATACACAACCCTTCTTGCTGAACCGTTTGAAAGCCGCAGGCGTTAAGTTCGTGCAAACTTCGTGGTACGAGCTTTTGCACTCGTCGCACTGCATTCTGCTTTCAACGGGATAACGACAACCCGGACGTTGGCAACCGCTTTTTTTTACACTATCCGTTCATTTCAAAGGAGTCCTTTTAAAAAGGAACGAGATGCGATGATACTCAGAAACAAAAAAAAATAATCAATGACCAAAAAGTGAAGAACTGTAGATTGTTAGAACCAAAAGTACTAACAGATACAATTGGAAATGAGGTACTCATAAGTACCAACGACAAAACTAATTGAGAGAACGGTAAAAACGGTACTCTAGTTGAATACTTTAACTGAAATGAATTCAATCAAAGTGAAAACCGTAGTCTTGATACGTAATAAACGATCGAAACAATGAAATTTAATCAGCGAGGAAAAATACCACTGTCCTTTTTAAATATTGTCCTTCGTACGCTTACTACAGTTATGTCGTTACAAAAGGGTTACGATTAAAAACTCCAGAAATCGGATGGTTAACGAATGAAAAACCCTGAAATGTAGTGGCGTTCTATAAAACTTGGCAGTTGTTTTTACTTTGATAATTCTCGGCTGTTTCGCAACGACCTTTTTGACACAGTTGATGAGAGGGTTGTAGTTTACATATCTACGAACCTACTTCTTTGAAAATTCACGAACTTTTATCCCCGCGACAAGTCATCTGGATGTTTTGTGATGCAACAAGAAGGGTATTCGCGACTCTTCTCTGATAGGTCTACTTAATAGACAATTGGGTATTTCAGGTTCTCCAGAAATTTTCATTTCTTTGAACTACCAGAGGAGCCCCCTAGGTAAATTCTTACACGTACTACATTTATGTGGCTTCAAAGTTTCTAATCTCTTCGCCTTTGGTCATAACTGTGAAGTGACCTACTTTAATCAAGAGAATGAGATTGCCGTAGTGGAAACAATTATTATTATAACCAATTTTACGAGGAATTGCTTTTCCGTACATGTTTGTTTAACTATACCAGAATACATACATTCTTCCGTTGATTGTGACCTCAGCAACCACATTTGTAACCTGGCACGATCTGGGTATTCTTTCGATACCACGAGATCGCCAACGAATACATCTCGACTACAGCCATCAACTGATATTTGACCTACGGAGGATATTATCGGTAAACTGGCCCGTAGTTCTCCTGTAGTGGTGATCGTAGTCAACCGCAGCTCGACGCCACACTACAACTGGAAACTGAATACTGATGTTTAAAATTTGATGAAAATTTATATTCCTTGCTGACAGCCCGAACTGACAGTCATTTAATCTAAAATACATTCTCGCTAATCAAGCTTCTATTCATATGTCGACTTCGACAAGGCGATCATCTCTGATAGTTCATTTCATCCACAAATGCATTATCAGTCAAATGTTCTGTTTTGAAAAAAATCCTTAAGCAAGAACTTGATGTTCTTCGCACTGAAAAACACTCTAGCAGAGTAAACACGTATCCACACATGTAGATGAACGATAGATTTTTTTAAGTATATTTTTAACGAGATCGTCGATCGAGATTATTTCCTTTATCCTCTAGGTACACCTAACAAGATTGTAGTCACAAATAAACAAATATCTTGAAACAAATAAGCTCTTTCTGAATTAATCAGACTCCTGGTACAATTAGTCACCACGCAGAAAATGTGCAGCATAAGGGAAGTGACTGTACCCGTGGTCTGGTCTCACGAGGATCCTAGGGTGGCAGTCAGTCATGATCTTAAGACCACGGCCCATTGCCGGGAAATTAAAGCTAAGGGGTTTAGAAACCTATAGGATTTAAGACAGACATCCACTAAGTTTGATACTGCCATGTTCACTACAGTATACACAATCTTAGTGAGAACTGAGCTTGAGAACTGCGCTTAGGCTGCAAGCCTCTGTTTAAAAGATGACTCGGATATCCTGGTAAACGTACAGAGGGCAGCTACCCGTGCAATTCCAGAACTCCGGGGTTTACCATACAAAGAGCGGCTTGAAAAGCTGGACCTCCTTACCATGTCCTACTGCAGAATAAGAGGCGATTTGATTTTGATGTTAATTATACTAAAGAATGATTTTGGACCTAACATATTTTCTCTTTTTCTTCCCACTAGATCTAGAC